CTCAGTCTTCGAGGCTAGTCGCATATTGCGCATAGTTTATACCTTCTGGTGAGGTTTTAAATCTCGTATGTTCTTTGCTACGTGGTTATATAAAAGTTTCGGAATCCAAGTGGATCTGCAAATTTAGTTTTGCCTACCATGCCTCTCATCAGAATTCTAAGTAAAAATTTGATTCGGAATTAGTTTCCAAATCTATGCTAAATCTCTTAATTGTTTTCGCTAATTCTTTCCTTGTTCATCCTTAGAAAGCCAATGACCTGCCTTAAAAAACAAACAGCTTGGCTTTCGGCCTCTGTCCTCCGGTTGTTAACATTTATTACAGAAATGCCAAATCTATAAATTTATTATTGCTATTTGCTTTGATCAGCCAACTTAGGGTTCATTAGTGCTTGTTCCGACACATTCTTCTATCGCTTAAATTCGTTTGGTTCGGCAGTTTTAGCAGAGTCTGATTTATCTGGCGAGCACTTTTCAAATGGCCCCATCTCCGATTTGACAACATCTGTTTCCCAAACATCTGCGTGTTTTAGGTTATGATGAAATCCTAAAAGTAAATTCGTTTGCTATGTTATTAATTCCTTTTTGTAAGGGGACCTTATTAGTTGGGCTAATATGCTCATCGTGCAAAAAGTTAATGCACTTTCATGGCTATAGCTTTTCATTACTCGTTACATTGTCACTTTTGGTGCTATTTCTTTCTCTTATATGCACTTTATTGTGTCCTTGATGGGACTCCAAATCCAAGTGATTTTGGCAGAATGACACTTGTACAGCAATTTTTTGGCAGATCAACAACGCACAGTCTAAAATAAAGAATACAACAGACCGACTCAGTATGTGCTCGTCTTTGCAATTTTGTCAGTCCATACTCTTTTTTCCGACAGCGCATATGATCGTACAACTATGTGCTTGAGTGTCATTACGTACATACATATATGCACATATGAATGTGCATGCATCCACATCCTATAAATACTGACCTATTTAGATATTAGAATTGTACTTATCCAAGTCGGAAAGCTTTTCCTCTTAATATTAATGACGTAGCCGGCACCTCTATTCCAGAAGTCTGTACAATACTCAGCTTTCGTTCAGGTGTATACTTAATATTTATTTATTTAATTCTGTATAGCGCGATTATTTTATAACTATATGTTAAATAAATTTAATTATTTTTATAACTATATTTCTTTATTAATGGCCCATCAACCATATTACGTATGTGTGAACCAATAAGCCGGATATTGTAAATTTTCTTTTTATTTGCTTATATTTATTTTTCGCTTATATTTACTCTAAAATTTAGCCAGGGTTTATATTTGTTGACTAACTGGTTAATCTACTCAATGTCAAAACGTCTTTAACGTTCCCCATCTTTGCGATGCTTCTATTGGTATAAAGCTGCACTTTAGGTAGCAGCGATGCTTTCACAGATATTTCCTCGAATTAACTGTCAGTTTTGCAGCCAACTTGAATATTTCATTGAATGAATGTCATCTTGAAATGGATATCGAGGCCCATTTAATCTTGTGAACTAATTTCTGGATTGCTGGTCCGGAATATCTAATCAGATTTTATCGACCCTATTGAAAGAGTTCACATTTTACTCCAAAACAAAAATCCTAGTTTCAACTCAGAAGTAATTATTGCAAATATAATCTCAACAAGAACGATAATTGATAAAAATGTAATGGAGAAATTCTCAACACACTAAGGTTGATCTGTATTATTCACATAACTATGTTCATCTTAGCAATAATAGCATTCAAAGTCTGCTTTGAGATTGGTGATTGTGATGACTTGGACGAGCAGGTCAAGCATCTCTATTTGCCACCTTGCTGTTAGTCATGTTTATGACGAGTAAAGGAAAACATCCTGGACACAGACCAAGCTATGATGAAATACTATTCTGTAGAAGTTAGGATATCAGACATCAACTTTTGGGGAAAGCATTCACTTAAAATTTAAAGCAGGGCCCCCAGAAAAATGTGCTCGATGCGGCCTCTCAAATGGTCAACGCAATGCTGGGTTACTCTTGCGTGGACCTTCGAGTTATATCGCATGCATCTCTTATATGGGCAGATCAAGCCAGCAAGCTGCGAATGATATCTATTTGCACTGTCAGGCCATATTATGAGATATGAGCCATTTGCTGGTCCATAAACTTGTATCACAATTTCGTCACAAAAGGTAGGCGTGGTTAAACTCGACCGAAGCTGGTTATTGAAATAGAAATGATATTTATCAGTATTCTAAAAGTATAATTTTAGCTACCACCAGTCTTATAAAGGGTCCCATGCTTTATGACCTGCTCCCGCTGGCTCATCGGGCACTTTACTAGGCGCGTTATTTGCATTAAATTTTTCAATATTTATCCCTTCTTCCTCGAGGTACTTTATATGGATATGATACTTTTGTAACTCAAGTGCCGCTCATTGTTAACTCCATTAATTTAACTCCTGTAACCTGTTTTAAACGAGCTTGATCTTGCTTATGAAAATATTTATGCCCTGTAACATAACAAAGGTTATGCTTCTTCGTAGTTCTCATTTCCTTCTACGCTTTGTACAGTTCTTTTCGAGATATCGCCAGATTTACGTCAAAGGACCATAAAAGATTGTCTTTTACTATGAATGGTATAAAGTGCCTTCGCAGATGCGAGGAGCTGAGTTTCTAAAAGTACTTTAGTAAATTCACCTCGTTACACCTTTAACTTTGTGTGAAAGCGATGGTTGAATGGATTAGTAAATTGGCCTCATCGGATACTGAATGAGGGTTGCCGTGGAGTCGTGACTAGATCTGTGCGTTGAAGTCATCGGCGCACTTTCCAACCTCGTTTAATCCTTAAATTTCATCGTATGTAACAGACATCGTCAAGGCGTGATACCTTACTTTGAGAAATGTTCATCAAGCACTAAGACTAGAACAGTGGCCGGCTGCAATCCTAGCTAATTTTGATAGTCTGACTTTTTCCTCCTAATGTGAAATCTTGTGGTTTGGTTAGTTAGTTCAGGCTTTCCCTACATGGTTAAGGACGGATGATATGACCGTCCCATCCCATTCATATGCCATTTTTAGTCACTTGACATGGCACTTTTAGCCACATCCATTATCCTCATTCGGGTAAGAGAAGCATGAAATGATCAACCAAATTATGAGGTGTCTCATTAATAGGATACGACCAGAATATAATTGGTATTAAGGACTGCAGCTGGCCACCTCGTCTGTCTTAATACTTTGCTTCTTAATCGGTCGAGGTTTAGGTAGTGCATGATACGTCACTTTTGTGATTTTATTATGGAGGCCTTCAAAACATTATAACTATTTAACTTTATATACATGTAAAAACTAATGACGAGGGCTGAAAAATGAGCATAGATTACTTCCTCCGTCTTTTTGCCCTACAAGGGCTTCAGACATATTGAGAAAAAATTGCTTCAACTCCAATCTAGCCTGTACACTGAAAGACTATTATGATTTTCATAAGACCTTTAGTCCTTTCGCTTGCGACAACCATTTGTTCTTGCCTAGAAAAGTTGGGCTTTTAATGAATATCTTGTTTCATAATTGCTGAGCTTACTTCAAGTTCGAGTGAAAGTGTTTATTAGATTCGAAGGTCGATTTCACCAGAAGACGACTGCGGATTCCTATTGACCAGCTCTCGATTGGCTTTACTGGAACATTCACGGTAATGCTGTTTCCTAGATAATCTACTTCGATTCCCGTGCAAAGGTGCTAAGCTTTCATTCGTCATATGACGAACATCATCAAAGCAAGGTATCATCGTCAAAACAAAATGCATGCTTACGAGTCAAGAAAACAATTTCCTTTATATCTGAGTCGAGCTAGAATTGTTATCATATGTTCAGCCACTTGTGAAGAAAACCTTTCTTGACTCGTTAACTTGAATTTGGTTGTGACCATGATACCTTGCTCTGAGGATGTTCGTCATATGACGGATGAAAGCTTGGCACCTTTTTACCGGAATCGAAGTAGGTTATCTCGGAAAGAGCGTCACCATGAATGTTCCAGTAAAGCCAATCGACAACTGGTCAATAGGAATCTGCCGTCGTCTTCTGGTGAAATCGATCTTCGAATCTCTTCACTAAACACTTTCACTCGAAATGGAAGTAAGCTCAACAACCATTTGTTCTTGCCTAGTATCTATGCCTTGTAAAACTGCCATGATGTATTATTCTTATGTTTCATGTAGTTATCCCTAAACATCATCCGACTTATAGTTATTTTTCATCAGTTTGATTTGGACCATTTTTTACAACTTAGTTTGATTATTTTTTCTTTATTGAGTAGATTTTCGAGACTACCAGTAAATCAGATATATTTGTTGTGTTCACCCTATTCCGTTTATGCTGATGAAGAACTGATAGTTGAATTTTCCCACATTGATATGAGTAGAGCTGACGCTTCCATTGTATTTCACATAGGCTTGCTTTCCCAAAAGGTGTTCTTATCCAGACAGGGGTAGACGGCAGTTTCGACCCCGCCTAGGTCTTTTCAACACCCCTAGCAAGAGCCCAACCATGACAGTGCAGCGTATAATCTCGACACGTTAACCACTACGTCACACTGTCACAAGTTCCCTTGGGTTACTGGGCAGATACGAATTTCAAGAGGGTTTATGAATTTTACATATTGCATTCTTTGTTTTGATTGTCGAAGAAGCAAACTTATATTTCATATAGTAATCGACGACATTACTTTTTTCTTTATTGAGTAGGCTTTTGAGACTACCAGTAATTCAGATATATGACTTGTGCTCTACCTAAAATGCCTAACCTTCCTTTAAATTCACATCTGCTCTGTGACCCAGGAGCACTCGTAGTAATCTGGCGCATTCGTTAACGTGTCGAGATTACATGCTGCGCTGTCATGTTTCGACTCCCGCTGGAGTGTTGATAAGACCCATGCGAGGTCGAAAGTGCAGTCCACTCCAACCGGAATGAAAACACCTTTTAGAAAACAAGGCTATGTGAAATTCAATGGAAACGTCAGCTCTATTTTTAGGATTGTAGGAAAATTAAACTACCAGTCCTTTATCACCCTAAAGGAAATAAGATGAACAGTTCATTGGCCATATTAATTGGAAGGCGACTATTGCTATCTTTTAAAGTAATTGCTTCACCGATTTGAATTATACGAAGAAAAATGGAGTTTCGATAATTATCCATCACAATGATTGGATTTATTCTTAATTGTTTCATTGGCAGTAAAATAGGCATTTTTTGTGATAATAGTTGCGGGCTCCACAACCGCAAGCTTCTGGTAGCGGTAAAAAAATGGTCACGCTTGTGATCTATCTACATTTTGGTATTGGTTAAAGCAGTGATTCTAAAAATTTTCCTAGTCGCGGGGCCCTTTTTCAATTGAAATTTTTCCATGGCGCCCTACCCTAAATATGTATATTCGTAAGTAAGAGAAAAAAATAAATAAAACTCGTGTATCTTCATTATTTTTTTATTTTATTAACACTAAATTAATATTTAATAATTAATGTGATGGATGAGTCTGCAAATCACTGCACATTTTCTCAAATTGAAACTTTTACAATATTTCACGGCTCCCCGGGGCGCCGCGTGGCACAGTTTGTGAATCACTGGGTTAAAGTGAAAAAGCCATTAGATTTTTCTTTTTACCTTTACCTTTTAATATTTTCTGCTGTTACGCTGATTGTCGTCTTACTTTTTCTGGTCATGTGATGTTTCAGCCAAAGACTAAACTCAATCGTTTCATCATTTCCTCCCCCCTTAAGGCATAAAAGTCTCTTGAAATGCATTTAGCATATCCTTTAATAGGATTTTTCCCCTATTAATCTTACGCGTTTTTCGGGTATTCTATATTACAAATTCTTCTTTTTGCAGTCTTGCCGGTTGCATCGGCGTCAACTTAGACAGAGTAAAAGGCTCTTCCAGCTGGCCACCTTTACCCGTTCCTCCCGGGGTTCCCGGTCCTCTCTCCTCCAGTATCGGCCTACCTGGAGCCCTGGTCGAGCCAACCCAAACAAACTGCACCCCTATTGTATCCACCAGCTCCATCTCTAGTACCGTAGCCCCAGTGGCGTCTACAGTCCTCTCGCAGCTCTCAGGAGCCCCTGGTCTGCCCACCACAGCTGGACCTATCACTGTGTCTTCAATCATTGGTGGCCCTGCAAGCCTTCAGGATAGCATCAATGGTTTCAGTCCTTGTGGTATCAGCCTTAAGCTACTCCCCTGTTCCACAGAGAGGTATACCTACAAATTCAATGGCCAACCATCCAGTCTGACAGTATTCCAGCCAACTCCAGTGTCGCGATCCAGTAGCCGCCGCCATGGACCACCAAATACCATTTCGCGGATTCTCAGGCCGCGGCGGTTCGTCTGTCGCAACTGCAAAAAAGCCTATCATGTAGAGGAGGGCAATGGTAGCGAGCTCTACCCTCTCTCAGAGGGTGATAATCCCCTTCTAAACAGTGCTCTCTCGTCTTCGCTAGCCTCTGTTGTCACCCCTCTTTCAAACACTCTGAAGCCTTCGACCAGCTCATCTCGGCGCTCGCATCCATCTGCCAGTGGTAACCAAAGAAATCATCCTGCTTCCCAACAAATCCGCTCTGTAGCACCCCCTATCATTCCAGTCAAAGTAGATGAATCTGCCGCTGTCACATCTGACGTCTCCGCCACCTCGGTGACTATAGGACGTCCTGCCGGGTCCGATAATCGGTTATCTGCCGCACTTATACTCGGTCTGCCACCAAAAGTGGGTAGCTCTAATTCTCCTGGCCCTTTGGAATCAACTAACTCGGCCGTTCATACGGAAGAACCCATTTCTACTGTCAAGGCCAGCATCGATACAGTCGAAGTTGTAGCCCGTACCTCCAGTATAGTAGCTCGGGTTTCTGGTCTCGGAAAGAGGAAGCGCAAAGCAGGTCTGGTCGCTCCTGTCGATTTTACTAATTCCATAAATGCGCTTGCTTCCCCTGTGTCGGCATCAAAAACCGAGATCCTCGCCTCTGACATCAGAGTTACTAGTCTTCCTCCCGCTTCTTATCACTCCCCTTCGCCTCCTGCACCCATTCTAATAGTAAGGACTCCCGGCACCTCAATAGGCATCTCCGCCTCTGAAGTAAAGAAACGTCGTCGCACAGAACTACAAAGCCTTTCTCCAAGTAACGGCAACACCGCGAGCCTGAATCCATCTATTCTTGCAGTACCCACCGCCAACCGCAAAAAGGACGCTTTGCAGGCCGGAAGATCAGCTCGTCGTAGAATAGCTGCCGAGAGGGCCACTTCTCGTCTGGAGGGAGCCCCTTGTGCTGCAACGAGGCTTGAGGCGTCGCGCAGCCCTGTCCGTCGAAACCAGTCTGGTCGGCGGGCGCATTCAATTACAGATGAATCAGCCTCCTCTTTGACGGCTGGAGTTGTGGGACAGCAAGTTAATAGCCCTCCTTCGCGAAAGGACCGCATAAAGCAGCAGTACGCCTCTACGTTTCGCTACTCCGCCATCTCACCATCGAATTCCATGGTTTCGGTTATCTCGGCTTCTGTATCCACTCCCTCATCGGCCTCCTTTTCTACACCTGCCGGGGTCTCGAATAGTTCCACACTCTTAAATTCAAGGGTTAACTCCTCATCTCCTAGTACAGACAGTATTGGTCTGCGGATGCGAGCTCGTTCCGGTTCTAACTTGCTTGCCCAAGAGTTGACCTCTGCCACAGCCCTCTCTTTCAATGGTTCGACTGCGACTCCCTCCGGCGTGCCTGATTTGGCCCCATCCGGGTCGGAATCCACGAAGATTGCTACTGTCGCTTCCGTTGGTGAGCCTATAAGCAGTTCTGACTCTGGTCCTCTCAGTTCTAAAGTTGATGTCGAAGAGGGCGGATCTGATGCGACCGGTGGATTGGTCTCTTCAAATGCTGCCTCAATGGTAACAACTACAACTTCTACCAACAGTGTGACGGCTGCTACTCTCGCGGTGACTTCTCCGGTTAGTGCATCCCATTCGAGTAGACGTCGGCCGGGTGATTATGAAAAGCCCAAAAACCGATGGATTCGTGCCGAGCGAATTCAACGTTATCAGGAGGAGAATGGTACATGTCTGTCAACTGTAAACAGCAGTCAGGCTGTTACAACTACGCCGACGGCATCTGCACCTAATTCTTCAATTGGCAATTTAAGCACCGCTTTTTCCACAAGTCATTCAGCTCCACATTCCTCCACGATGCTGGCCTTTTCTGCGGTCTCATCGGGTCCTACTACTCTCACCATCTCAGTCACGTCAGGAGCTTCCTCCGTCTTGGCATCTACTGCCGCCAACTCAGTTCAATCAGCAGCTTCAAACGCAACAGGACTTCTGCCCACTCAGCTGAGCAGGTCACGAACGCGATCGGCCAGTCCAATGACTGCACCAAACCGGCCTACTCCTCGGAATACACGTAGTGTAGTTACCCCGGCCCGTGAACCCGTTGGTGACAGTACGTCCATCGACGAGATGAAATCTGGCCTCGTCCCAAACACCTTGACTGCCACACCGAGTCTGGTTATTGCGCCAGTCACTCCTTCTGCTCTACCCGCAATCAAGATCAAAATCAATCGTAACTCCCTGATTGCCAGCACTGGTGGCACACCATTTGAGGTTTCCAGTGGTTCAGCCTCTGACTTGGCGTCCTCTGATATTGCACCGCTTGATTCTGATGCCAAACACCGCATCTACGAGATCGTTTCCTCTCCTCAGTCGATTGGCAAAGAGATGGCTACTTGCAATGGTCTCTCAAGTTTGGTTGATTCGGATGAAACCGGTGAAGCAATTCCATCTGGAGAATTGACGCATGAAGATGACAGGCTTGAAGCCGGCGACCATCTCGGTTCGCTTTCCGAGATTCAAGAGGCGTCTGGTGACCCGTCAGACGGGCTGAGTAGCATTGAGGGTCAATTTGTGAGGCAATGCTGTTTGCCGGGCAGTCAGACGGTGTTCCGTGTGGGCGACATTGTCTGGAGCAAACTGTCCGGCTGGCCATTTTGGCCGGCTCAAATAACCAGCATTCGATGCTGCGGTTTGCCACCCGTCTACATTGCCTGTCTACGCTGGTATGCATGGGATCAGGTCTCCTATATAACCTGTGACAAACTGCTTCACTTTCTTGAACACTTTGAGCGACGATTTGATCGAAAGAAGAAGCGAATTATCTATCGACAAGCTGTGGAGCAAGCGAAACGAGTAGCCGAAGAACGCCAACGTCTTTTGGCCCGCGGCGATGACCCTGACCCACAATCTCCGGACCACTTGGTAGAGGCGATTATCCCTCTTGAGCAAGGTAAGCCTGAAGGGGAGCCTGAGTTGGAGATTGAAGAGAACCTTACTTCTGAAGAAGCTCCAGAAATGGCTGATACCATGGCTCTTCTTGAGACGCTGTCAACGGCATCGGCTCCGTCTAGTGTCGGCAAGAAGACGAAGTCATCAGTCAATTTGATTGTCGATGATGATACCGGAGTCGGTGTTAACGGTGCCGTTGACACAGTTACAATCAGCAGCCGAAAAGGTATCGGAGGCAAAAAGCGACGCAAGCGAGCCAAATCGATTGCAGATGAATCAGTTTCCAGTGCCTCGTTGACTGAATTTGCTATCAATGAGACCAATCAACCACCTGATATCGCACCTATTGATTCATCCTCACCTAGCTATTTATCTACCGGGAATCAAGCAGTTGCGATCGCAGTCGCCATGACACCCTGTCCTGTCATTCAAGCCAGTATTTGCCTTTCTGCAGCCAGTTCTCGCAGTCCACGAGCAGCCTCACTTTCAGCAACAAGGGCCCTGGAGATCGCTGCGGTGCCACCGCGACGCGCGAGAAAACTGACCATCGGCACGGTCTTATCTCGTCGTAATACTTGCTCTCCGATCTTCACATTGCCCAGCTCTCCATCCCAAGAGACCCATGTAAAAACCTTCATCAACAAGTCCTCAGCTGAACCTCCGACCGCGACTCCTGCCGAAGTGACAACGAAACGTAATGGCATCAGGAAACGCGGTTCTCGTGCGACAAAGGAGCCTACTTTGGATGGAGGACTGCACTCGGCCGGTTCCTCTAGGAAGTCTCGTGCTAAGGCCTTGCTTAATCCTGCCAAGTTTAAGCGTGAACGAGCAACTGCTCCTCGAAAGTCAGACCAGCTCGCGCCAGTTCAAGTGCACTTGCCGCCTGTATCCGTTCCTACTCCGATCGCCTCTAGTGGCCGGCTGAAGCTGGTATTGTCCACGGTTGCCATTGCACGTGCACTTTCCGGTGTACATGATAAGGAGGTGGATGGCGACGAGGAAGGAGAAGATTACGAGGAGGACAGGAGGTTGCAGGCACAGGGCGGGCCAGCAGACTGTGAAACCAAAAGGAAAGATGCACACGTTCCTGCCAGCAAGGTCACCTCTGGCGATTCCACAGTTTTAGAGGCAAATGGGCCTCAGGAGAAGGTAGAAGAAAGTGAGATGGAGGCTCTAGATGGTGAAGAAGAAGAGGCCGAAGATAGTGCCGAATGCGAGGGAGAGGAGGAGGAGGAGGAAGAAGAAGAAGAGGAGGAAGAGGAAGATTTAGATGAGGGCGAAATCCGTCACGATGGAGAGGAGGATGGTGATGATGAAGAGGAGGAGGAAGACGAAGACGAAGATGACGAGGAGGCTCGTAGTAAAAAGATTTCGGCCCAACTCCTCTTCTCCAACTCTGATCTTCTAGACCCACCTCAGCCTCATCGAATGCCTGGCTCTACTGCTGGTTTCAGCCTGCTTGGTGCATGCCTACCACATCAGCCAAATAGCCATCGACGGCGTCACACTCACGCTGACAGACAGCATCACCATCACCACATCCGCCATCTTGAGCAGCAGTCGCATCAGCAAGATGTCTATGCGCTCTATGGACAGTCTTCCCGTTCCTTGGCCAGCGACTTGCGCAGAACATCAAGAGCAGAGTCAGGAGAACACACAACATCTAACAGTAAACACTCAGTGGCCTCAGGTCTCCCTGCTAACCTAGCTTCTCTTTCCAGCGTCTCCAATTCGTCAGTGATCTCTGCGGCCACTGGTATTGCCACGGGACTGGTGACGCACAATTCAGTCTCATCGACTACCAGTTTCATGGCCGCCGATTTTCCCAATGTTCTTCCTGACCTGGGCGCCTCAGGCCTTCCTCTAGACACTGTTGATATCCCTACATTCTCTGAGGATGAATCGGACGGTGAGGGAACTGGCCGGCTGATTATCGACGCCGATTCTCTATCCACAGCCACCGTAACCATGGCTACAACGACCGGTACAGGCAGCCTTTCTCTTCCCCCATCGTTAAACTCTGCAGGAACACTTCTTCCTTCTTCCACTGATTCATCAGTTGGTATTTCTCACCAATTTGCTGGCACACCTACTTCACTTCAAAATCCAGGCCTTGACCTGGCCTCCACTCTCGGCCAGATGCAGGCTCTCAGATCTTCTGCCTTACCAACTGACTCTTCTGCCACTACACCTTCAACCCTCCTCTCCACTACTCGTGAAACGACGGCTAGTCTTAGAAACGTAAACGGCAGTACTAGTAGCTTTCTCTCATCTCAGGAGGTTGATAGCATTACATCTGGCTGCTGCTTCATAACCACAGCTCCTGCCATCAATACAGTCCATTCCCCTGGTCAGCTTACTCTGCTGTCTCATTCTTCACTCGTGGAGCCCCAGCATCATCTACAACAAAATTTACAACATCACCAACAGACTCAGCAGACTCAACTGAACCACTTCCTTGACAGCCAATCCCGGCCCATATTGCCACAACCTGGTTATCTGGCTCATCGGCCTGCTTCCTCAGCCACCTCATCACCCAGTTCTGATATCTCACCAGCCTCACCTACCGTACCTTCTGGATCTGTGACCCCGTCTATACCTCGATTTTCTTCTGTCGGTGGTCAATTTTGCAGTGGTCTTTCCTCTCTTGGCCAACGGCAGGATTGTCAGACTGCAGGATTTTCAACTGCGACTGCTGCGTCTGATCAAACGATTTCTCCCCAACTCCTTTCTTATCCCATTCAGCAGGGTCCACATCGCCATGGCCTCGGTCATACCCGCCTGCCCCCCCATCCTACTCCAAATAGGCCTTCTCTTTCTCATTCTCCTCCTCAGACACCTATGGCATCTGGCCATCCCCCCTGCAATTATCGGACCAGTCATCCCAGTCATCCCAGTCATTTGCAGAGCTCGCAAATTATGGGCCCCTTGACCAATACGAGTCAATCTTCCTCTTCCCCTTCATCTTCCTCCCTTGGACATGCACAAAATCTAGCCAGATCAGGTACCTATGATGCACTACCACAACATCCACACCATCACCAGCATCATCAGCATCACTATCCTTACACCGACCCTCGACAATTTCGACGAACTTAGGATGCTGTTTCCGCTAAAATTAAAATATACCTTTGCTATTTTGTACATTCTGTTCGCCTTCAACTTTCAATCTTTATTGAAGTAATCCTTCATTTTTCTCTTCCGCTATCCAATACTTCCATTTTGTTGCCTTGCATAATCAGGCACTTATACTATTACTTTCCGTCTCTCTCTCTCTCTCTCAAATGCTTGACATGATCTGTTAACTATCTACAGAGTACTTGATCCGTGAAATGCTATTCTCTAAAGAAAATTCTATATATTATTGCCTACCGTTCCATGATCATTAAATCTCTCTCCCATTTAGGTCCCTATATTTATCTACAAACTCTTCACATATTGTTCCTTTGCTTCACCATTGATTTCTTTTTCTTTTAGATCCTCACACCATGATCATTATCTAATAATTTAATGTTTTTGTTGACCACTCTCCTTCTCCGGTCTTTCAAGCCCTACTCTCTCTTGCCATCGTTCGTCCGGTCCTCCTGCTCAAGCTTGTCACGAGGCTACTCTAGTCCTTGCAGTTTGGCGCCCATAATAAAGTAAAGGAGGAAGTGATGCAGAGTAACCTTCAAAAGAGGCTCTGGAACGTGCGTTTATTCGTACTATTTTCGCCTTGAAACCAAGGCCCTACTCTACTATCTTTGAACAGATCTCGCTCTCTCATCGAAGTTTAAACTGTTTTGTTTCTTTTCTGTCTTTTTGATGATTTACTATATTTCTTTCATCCTCAGTACAGCAATCCATCTGGGGCATATTTTCTGCCTGATTTGCGTTGTATTTCTCCTTTTTTTATGAAGCAGACGTTTACTTGCATTGTTTTTCTTGTTTCAGGTCATAATATTCTTGTACATTGATTCAAATTACCCTGTAAAAATCACAACTGAGGGCCATATATATATATATATATATATATATATATATATATATA